GCGATAAAAAACAAATATTACTAGGAGTAAAATTCTAACAAAAAAAAATAACTGCATCGAGAACAAAGAATAATTTAAAAAAGAAAGACTGGAAAGAAGAATGAACTACGCAGTGATACAAACAAATTAAAAAAATAAAAAAACTCATATGATGAATTGTTAAAGATGCAAGCAAACACAAAGTACAGTCTTTCTTTTTGCCTCAATGAATAGTGGACGAGAACTGTCAGAAAATAAAAGAGAAAATGTATCTTCATAAATAAAATTCTAAAAAAAAAGTTCTAAAACACGGCTACGTAAAGAACCAACCATGGGGTCGAAACTTTGCGTGAAATTTTTGAATCCCTCGAGAATCGGGCCAAGCGTAATGCCTGATTCCGGCTTTGTATTTAACAACATATTGATGATAGCCTGTGAAGCACACGCATTTTGGATCACCTGAAATAGTGAGTTTTTTTTCATCTAATAGCACATAACTGATCAAACTTCCAGCACAGAGCCTCCGCTACTGTCACGCAGGCCTGCAAAAGTGAGACCACCTACCCCTCTTCCATCATCTCTAACCAGCATCATTCTCAGAACGCCAACAATCCTTTTTCCTCCCTCGGACAACAGATAGGACTAAGACAGGAAGCAAAGAATAAATAGCAATGCGCACCAGACTGGCCGGTGCGATCATGCGTTTTGAGCAATTCAGCCCATCGAACGACTGCCTATTAATGATTTTTACTGCTTTGTACTTTTGCCTATGCAAAAATAGTTCAGACACTGGAAAATAATTAGAAATTTCACGCATCAGCACATGAAAGCTGTATTCGAAACCTTGAAGGGTGAATATCTTTCCGTGATTATCAAGTTAACAGTTTAACCGCCAAAATTCTCACGACGCCTTAGGTGATACTCAATAGCGAGGGAACGCTGAATTTGAATGCAAGGTTGAGCGTGGATAGGGGGGTCATTACCCTAAAATTTCAGCTTCCTTGACCCCGTGGTTCCCGAGATAATCATCTCCCCGCAAAAACTTTCACTAGCCCACAGGTGATACCCGAGAGCGCGGGAACGTTGAACTTGAATAGGCAAGGTTGATCGTGGGCAGGGAGTCACTACCGTAAAATTTCAGCCTCCTAGACTCCGTGGTTCCCGAGATATTAACTTACCCGTGAAAGACTTTCCCGGGGTCGTACGCGTTACCCGCGGGTAAGGGAAGGCTGAATTTAAATATGCTGCGTCACCCATTGGCGTGGAACACTATACCAAAATTTCAGCCGCCTACCTTTTATGGTTCCCGGGTTGAAAGTGCGGGACAAAATGTGGGACACACACACACAAACACACACACACACATATACACACAAACACACACACGCACAGATAACCTCGTGACAATATGCGTTTTGTAACGCTGTTACACAGCACAAAACGCATAATAAACTGAAACTTGGAATATTTCCTCGTTTGCAAATATCAAGTGGAAACTGAAAATATTCAGAAATACATGAAAAAACTGTTGTTATACCATCCACAGTTAATGTCCAACTTCTTAGAGCTGTACATCACAAAATTTGGAGCTTTTTTTGCAATTCGAATTATTTGATATTCGGAAAGCATGATACCCAACAGTTTAGGAGAAACGAAAACCGCAAAAAAAGGTGCTCAGTAAGATTTGGAAAACTTTAGCCCAATCTGTTTGCTCTCTACACATGAACTGTTCACGCGGGTTATTACTAGCCAATTAATAAAACTTCTTCAGCTGCAGACAGCTAGTTCGACAGCAGCGCTAATAATGATAATGATAATAACAATAATAATAGTAGTAATAATAATAACAATAATAATAATGACACCAATAACAACAAATAATAAGATAATAATAATGATAGTGGTAATGATAACGATAATAGTAATAATGACGACAATAATAATAATGACAATAATAAAAACAATAATAATGATAATAACAACAGTAATATAATTTGAAGTTTCAGGGAAGGAAAATGCAACACAATGGATAAAGAAAGATTAATACCTGTTGCGCGAAGTAAATTTTTGTGTTATCAGTTACTAAATTGCCACACGGTTCTTCACCTGCGCGCCACTTGAACAGAAATATTAGTCCATGAACAGGTCTAAAATTCAACATCAAGGTACAAAAACCGCTAGAAAGATGAAAAAGGAAAATGCAAAAAGACGGAAAAAGAAAGATTATTACTTTTCTTCTTCTTTCTGCGTCTTTCTATTAAAAGGAAAAAACTCCAGGCGAACGCAAAAAGCTGGAAAATGGTAATTTCGTGAAAATATATGGGGGATGAAGCATATTAAATTACTTGAGATCAGTGAATAACTCTTTATCGAGGCTGTACAGCTCTTCCACCTGAACACCAGTCACCCCAAAACCACGAATAAGTTCCGTGAAAACTCCTGGATCGGATTCAATCAAGCACCAATTACCAGCTTCAGCCATTTGCACCTGTAAAAAACACAGAAGTACTCCGGCTATAAAACCCTAGTATCAGTCACTTCGTTACAACCCTGTATCGCAAGTCATATGAAAAACTGTTTTCATTCGAAAAAGAAAGCGATTGCAGAAGTCACTGAACGTCTAAGTATAATTTGGATGTAGTAAGTCGACAGATCCTCGGTGGCCAGGTCAACTCCGCGTTGGAAATCGGAAGCCTTCGAGACA